AATGGGCCATGGCTATATCAGGAAAGCAAAATGTTTTCCCAGAAAACCTTTAGTTAATTTCTTTCAAAAGAACTTTTTACATACTTAATATATTTCCTTAACTTCAAAGCAATGTGGGAAAGTGAGAACTTTTAGCTGTGTTTGTTGCTGCTCAGGGTGAAGTCAGGGTTCTTTTGGTGGGGACAAAGGGAGATGGGTATTGAGTATGCAGTTAGCAATGTTCATTGCCCACATATTTTGTTTGTTTGTTTTTTTAATGACTGGTCCTGGTCAGTTACAGGAAAACCCCACATGATGAAGTCCTATTTTTTGACTGTTTTATATAGAATCTCAAAAACTTGCTTAGGCATCTTACCTCATTGTCTTCTTAATAATTTTTGGCTTCTACTTTCCAGGGTGTGTTTGGTCTAAGTGAGTTCTATGCCTTGGCTCTACCCTCAAGGTACATTCTGTTGGAGCCACATGTGGACTTGCAAAACATCATTGACAGTGCTGATTAAATTGTACAATGTCTCTTCTTCTACAGCAGAGCTTCTCTTTACCTTTGTGATTTGGTAACTTCTTACATTAAGAAAACTATTGAATCATACTCTCAGACTCAGTCTTTCCCAATCTGTATCAATGTGTTTCTGATTGATTTATTTTTATTAACTCAATTGTGGGTTCACAGCCATCTTTTACATAGAAATTTACTTTTAAAATAGTCATTATTTGCTTTTTAAAAAAGGAGTCATGACAGTAGTATGCCTGTAGTCTTAGCTGTTTGGGAGGCTGAAGTGGGAGGATCACTTGAGCCCAGGAATTAGAGACTGTAGTATGATATGATGTTACCTGTGAATAGCCACTGCCCTCCAGCCTGGGCAACATGACAAAACCTTGTTTTCAAACAAGCAAACAAAACTTACAGCCTTTATTGATTTTTCTGGTTCAGGATTTGGAATGAAAACTTACACCACAAACTGTGGTCTGGGGACAGCAGCATGGGAGTCACCTGGGAGCTTATTGGAAATGCAGAATTCTCAATCCACCCTAGAGCTAAGAAACCACAATCTACATTTTAGCAAGATCCCTAAATGATTAAGTGCCCAGAGTTGGAGAAGCACTGGCTAAAGGAGAAAACAAATGAAAAGAAGGCATGAAGCTGTGTTCTGAGAAGCTCTCGTGTTTAATGTAGATGAAAAGAGCCCACCAGAGAGATGGGGAGATGAAAGCCAGGAAAGTATGTGACATCTCTTAGTACCTTCTCTGAGGAAGGAAGGAACGATGCAGTGAGGCTTCCATCTGTCCTGGGGTCACAATATGGTGGTACCCAGTAAGCAGTGACTGAAAGTGTTGAAGAGCTGTAAATAATTTACCAAGATTTTTATTACTTGGGCATTGAAGCTTAGTTTGGGCTTGAACTGGAACTTTTTTCTCTTTGGTATGCCTAATTCCAGTTCTCTTTAAATTGATGCTTGGCAAACTTTCTCATTCAGAACCAAGATAGCATTCTGACTATAGGGCAGAGTGATGTCACCCTTCCACCTTGATATACTTTATATATATGCTTTTAAAAAAAATGTCATTCTTAAGCTTTTCCCTAGTTTGTAAATTTCTCACTAAAACAGTGTTTCAGAGCAGTTCAACGGTAATACATGTTGAGAGTCGCTAATCCAAAAACCTGAAATCCAGCACTTCAAAATCTGGAACTTTGGAATGCCAGTGTGACACTCAAAGGAAATGCTCATTGTCCCCTTTCAAATTTTAAATTCTCAGATTTGGGATGCTTGACCAGCAAATATAATGCAAATATTCCAAAGAACTCAGAAATATGAAGCACTTCTGGTCCGAAGCATTTCAAATAAGAGAGTCTCTATATTATCATTGGCACATGGTTAGGAGTTGGATTTTTGTCCATATTCTGTGCTTGACAACAGTTGTTTCCACATAGTAGTTGCATGGTAAATAAGTGTGGAAAGAATGCCTGATTTGAATGAGTCCTGGGATTTACTTTCTGGAAGATATCTCTGTTGTTGTCCTGAACTTTATATTTTTCTGTTAAGTCCAAATAAATGGTCATTTAAATAGCATTGTTTATTGGGGGAAAATAAAAGATGGTTTGCTAGAAGTAAATTGTTAACGTTCTACCAGATAGTGGAGAAGCAACCCTAAATATTGGTGGTTGCAGGCTTTAAAACACTTGGTGCGGTGGCTCAAGCCTGTAATCCCAGCACTTTGGGAGGCCAAGGCTGGTGGATCATGAGGTCAAGAGATCGAGACCATCCTGGTCAACATGGTGAAACCCTGTCTCTACTAAAAATACAAAAAATTAGCTGGGCATGGTGGCACGTGCCTGTAATCCCAGCTACTCAGGAGGCCGAGGCAGGAGAATTGCCTGAATTCAGGAGGCGGAGGTTGCGGTGAGCTGAGATCGCGCCATTGCACTCCAGCCTGGGTAACAAGAGTGAAACTCTGTCTCAAAAAAAAAAAAAACAAAAACACTTGTGTTTTCTGGGGCTTGTTATTTGTTTGGTTTTACCAATGTAAAATATGAATTGTTTTAATAAGAAAACAAAATGAAAGCTTGCATTGTCAAATTTATGTATTAAAGGGTAAGGAACAACGTTACCTCTCAATTTGGGTTTATAACATTAGCTTAGCAGGTAGGTCTCCCTCCCCAGTATCCATTCTCTGTGGAATAATTAATGTCAAAAAGATCTGAGGATATGATTTATTGCTTCTCTTAGTACTTGTGAACTTCTCTGTAGATTTCCAGATGGTGTCAAACTAGCCATTCCTTGTGAAAGAGTAATTATGTGGCAGTGATCATAATTAGCTTTCTATATAGATAATCCAAGGCCTCTGTTATCTTTGTTTTAATTTAGTAGACTCTACTAAAATTTAGTAGTAAGTCACCAGTAGCTTGGCCTTAAAATTGGAACTCACAGCAGTTTAACCCATAAATACATTCCTGTGTTTAACCCATAAATACATTCCTGACTAATGAACAAAACTCAGATGGTTATAGATTACTTATTCTCTGGACAGAGGACTTCCATTCCCAGTGAATGAATGTGTGAATAACATGATTGAATGAAATTGCTAGTTAAACTTGGTCTTTTAGAAACATTCTTTGGTGACATTCTCCCAACACTTTGAGCATACTTTAAAATTTACTAATTGACTGTCTTAAGATGAAGAAACAGTCAGGTATGGTGATTCATGCCTGTAATTCCATTCCTTTGAGAAACTCAGATGGGAGAATTACTTGAGGCTAGGAGTTCAAGACCAGCCCGGGCAGCATAGCAAGACCCTGTCTCTACAAAAAATGCTTAGTCAGACATGGTGGCACATGCCTGTATTCCTGCTACTCTGGAGGCTGAGGTGGGAGGATCACTTGAGCACAAGAGGTTGAGGGTGCAGTAAGCCACGGTTGTGCCACTGCAGTGAGTCATGATTGTGCCACTGCACTCCAGTCTGGGTGACAGTGAGCCCTCTCGCCACAAAAAATATTTAGTTGGACATGGTGACATGTGTCTGTAGTCCCAGCTCCTCTGGAGGCTGAGGCAGGAGTGTCACTTGAGCCCAAAAGGTCAAGGCTGCAATGAGCCATGATTATGCCACTGCATTCCAGCCTGGGCGACAGAGCAAGGAGATACAAGTAAGATCATCTCTTCCTTAGGCCATATATATATATATATATTTTTTTTTTTCTTACTCATTTGGGTTTAGAGCAAGAATAAGTGGATCCAGGAAAATGACTGTATTTTTAAAAATCAGATTTATGTTTGGAATGTTCACTTTTTTTTTTTTTTAAAGAATGTCACAGCATGGAAGATGATCGTAGTTGTTTGGTAGGGTTGCCATAACAAAGTGCCATACACATATACGCATAAACACAAAGTTTATGACTTATACAAGAAATTTATTTTCTCACAGTCTGGAGTTTGGAAGTCCAAGATCAGGGTGGCAGCAGGGCTGCTTTCTCCTTGACTTCTAGAAGGTCGTCTTCTCCCTCTGTGTTTACATTGTCTTTCATCTGTGTGTGTCTGTATCATCATCTCTTACAAGGACACCACCCTATTGGATTAGAGTTTACCCTAATGACCTCATGTAAACTTAATTACATCTCTAAAGACCCTATTCCAAATAGTTATATTTTGAGGAGCAGGTAGTTTAGGACATTAACAACTAAATTTTTACAGAAGGAGGAGAATATACAGTTTAACTCATAACAGTTGTGTGTCAGGGAGGTCAACGTAAAGGCAAAAAGGCCAGGTGGGACCTCATGCTTCAAGAATTCTAGTTGAGAAATGAGAATTTAAACCAAAGCATTGACAATAAAAATGAAAATGAGTTGTGATTAAGAGGCATTAAGGAGCAAGAATTTGATACAAGACTATGTGACTGAAAGTGGAGGGGCACCAGAGGAAGGCGGGCTGGCTTGACTCCCAGATTTCCCTGTCCAGGAGGAGAAACTGGCTTGAAGGAGGAAACTGGCTTGAAACTGGCTGTGTGATGTCCCTGTTGAATATTCAGCACTTTGTTAGCCAGACACCCCAGGGCTGGTCAGCTGTTCTACTTTTCTTTGCTTTTTCGCAGTGGCTCTTCATAATGTGGACTATATCACGTACAACTGAGCATGTAGCCTCTTCACTTGAAATGTGTCCTAAGATACTTATCACCATCTGAACTTCCACTGAAATGTGACTTAATACACTTATTACCATCTTATTTTGACAGTGAATTCTAAACTCTTCTTTTTTCCTGATAATAAAAAAATAAATATTTTAATTTAAATAAAAAGTTAAATCCTTAAGGAAAAGGGACTGTTGTTTTATTCATTTGCCCAAATCTCCAATATTTTCTGATTGGATACACACATCTAGTATATAGTAGGTTGTGCTTAGAAATTCTAGTTCAGGGAATAATTTGTCAGTAGGGTTGTTATGATCAGTTACTTGTTCTTTGCGTATTTTAATCAAAGATTCATATTTAAAACCTGTTTGATTTTCTTGCAGAATGAGAAGACTTTGGGACATTCCATGAGTCATTCGAGCAACATTTCTAAGGTAGAGCGCCATTGAAAAATGTTATTACCTTGAGGCTTTTGTGTTCTTGTGCCTTACATGTGTTCTTTTTTTTTTGAGGTGGAGTTTCGCTCTTGTTACCCAGGCTGGAGTGCAATGGCGCAATCTCGGCTCACTGCAACCTCCGCCTCCTGGATTCAGGCAATTCTCCTGCCTCAGCCTTCTGAGTAGCTGGGATTACAGACACGCGCCACCATGCCCAGCTAATTTTTTGTATTTTTAGTAGAGACAGGGTTTCACCATGTTGACCAGGATGGTCTCTATCTCTTGACCTCGTGATCCACCCGCCTCGGCCTCCCAAAGTGCTGGGATTACAGGCATGAGCCACCGCGCCCGGCTTTACATGTGTTTATACTCTTTTTCTGAATAGACATTAAAGTTCTTGGTACACTTCTGTAATCTGTTCTGGGACCAGGACAGGTGTGTGGCAGTTATGTTTTTCTAGAAGGGCTATTTTGAGTGTGTGTTGTGGGAAGTGATTTCTAGGAAAAAACTCCGTTTTTTCCAGAAAACCATATACTTTAAGGCAGAAGAAATCTCAAGCACAAGAGAGTCTCTTGCCACAATTAGGAATGTATTGGACTGAAAGTAACAAAAAGCTAACTATGGTGACTTAGATAATTATGGATTTATATGGTATGACAAGGTTTCTGGAGGTAAGTGGTCTAGGGCTGAGTTGCTCACAGATGTTGCCAGGGACCCAGGCAGGCTCTTTTCTATCCGTGCTTCCTCCTACTTGCACATGGTCTCACAATGAGAGCTGGATCTTCAGGCGCTGTGGTTGTGGCCTTTGCGGGAATTAGAGGAATGATCAGGGATTAAGGGTCTCTTAGCTGAGAGTCACCATTTTCAGCAGGAAGGCAAAAGCTTTCCCAGAAGTCCCACCTGGCCGCCTGAAATCTGCTTACATCTCCCTGTCCAGAACTGGATCACAGGCCACCTCTAGTTGGAAGGCAGCTAGGAAAAGGAAGGCTTAGGAAGTGGATCAGGCATCCAGTGGCATCTGCTCACCTGTGGTGTGGTCACTTCAGCCTATCAGGAGCACACTGGCTGCTAGGATATGACCTAGGAACCAGGAGAGTGTATCTGATGCAGTAAGTTTGCTCCCAGGCAGTGCTTCTCTCTCAGCCTAGACATTGACTCTGACCAACCCCTTGGCCATACAGTTATGGCCATGAAAATTCTTTGCAAGGGTAGATCTTTTCTCTGTGTTTTTAGTATATGGCCAAACATGACACAGATCCTGTTGGGAGGATTTGAACAAGTGATAAAACCTGTCTGCTGTCTCAGGCCTCCTAGATACTCTGAAATAAACAGTTACATTATATGCTATTTTAATGTGCTGACTCAACATATGTTTTCATTCAGGTCACCTTATTTTTTTGAAACTAAAAGTAAACTCTACCAAACCTTTGTAAGACATTAATTTGTCTGTTCTTAGGCATATTTTTAATCTAATTATATTATTCTACTTAATTTTGTATTAAAAATATGAATGCCTTTCACAAAATATTTTTTCTCATCCAACCTCCATTTCTTTTCTTTTGCTGTCCCTTCAGCCAGGAATCCTACAGTGTTAAAACTGCAGTGGTAAACCATTACTGTCCAGTTTTGCCCTACCACCTTTCAAAGGAGCTGATCAGTGTCTAAGCATGGAGAAAAGTGACAAGGTGCAGCTGCAGATGGCCTGTTTGCTTAAGTTGAATTAAATGTTTTAAAACACACTCAGTATCACATGTTGCCTCCCCCTAGTAGGCGTAGCCAAGGGCAGTTCTGAAGGAGGACATCATCCTATGCCTTAATATGTACCTGTTCGTTCATGGATTTCAGTCATATTTTATTTAAAGGAAACTTCTTCCTACAGTTTAAAAAACTGTTTGCAAACCACCAGCTCAAAATGTCTAGAGGAAAGGATATGGTCTTGGCTTGGGTTGTGGGTATTTTGAGCTGCTTTGTAAGGATTTTGGAGTTAACATAAATGATGGTTTACTAGCATGTGATTTTGAAAAAGGACACTTCTCACAGCTTTAATTTGCTTATCAGTAAAAGTAGGTTAATAATACCACCTTCAGGGTTGTTCTGAGTTTTGGGATTAATGTTTGCATGGAACCATGGGGCGGCTCACGAATTACACTGAGCCAACAAACCTGACTCTTGTCAAAAACTTCGTTGAATCTTGGTGATCTTTGATTGATTCTGCCAGGGAAGTTCATTTAATTGTAGCTTTATTATTTATTGCCGAACAATGGAGAATCATATAGTTTCTATTTTTTTCTTCTTGCACATATTTTTATTGTGTGCTCTTTGTGACTGGACACTTAGACTTTGCAGTGAGTTCTGGGATACTTAGTAGGGTCACTGGAGAGAATCTGAGTGAAGTGAGCCTTTAGAACATCTGATTACTCACAGAACTTCCTGGTGAACCTGTCAGCGTGAAATTTTGTTGCAAAGTGTACCCCTTTGTAACTTAGTTAGTAAGCATGCTGTATAAGATATTTAGGCATGAGCCAGTTCATTTGGACTGGGGGAGTAGGGCCCCCTGGGGAAGATAAGTGTTTTTGAGAAGGCAGTTTTTTATTGGAGTATTTATTAAATGAACCTGCTGTTTCAAGCCAGTTTTAGGTCATGACATGTAAAATCATATCTTCAGTATAGCAGATGTACTCTTAAGATTAAAGAAGGCCACAACATGGATGTGTTTTCTGCTACCTGAAATCCCCACTGTCTCTGTCAGGAGTCTTTGTTTGCTGACTGTTAGCCCCCAGCTAGAGTCAGCATATTAGCCAGTCACTGCATTCTGCTTTATGCTTCTGCAGTTCACCTCTTGCTAGCATAAGTTTAGAGGTTGAAAAGAGGTAAAAATAAAACTAATCCTGTCACCTAGTATTCCATCTAGATTTTGTTACAAAGTATTTCAGTGTGTATTAGAAGTATATGACTTTAAAAACCAGACTCCATTTTCAAAGAAGGAATCAGGTAGGTTGGATGGGATGTTTTGAAAGATGCATATGGGAATATTTAAGCAATTACAATGGCAAAGTCTTCACCCAATACTTATTTTGTATTGATAGAATAATGTTAATGGATATCATTTGTTGAGCCTCTGTTACAAGGGCAGGATTTCATGAAATTTGTCTCCTCCAACTAACGTCTTGAGGGGTCCAAAATTACCTTTTCCTTTTATTTTTCAAGAGCGTTCTTATTGCTGCCTGAGTTTTCATGAAGTTTTTCCATTGAAACTTCACCCCACATGTAACCTCCATGAGTGTAGAACCATGCTTTGTTTATCCTTAAATCTGCAGAGCCAGTGATGGAATGGAGCCTTGGAAGTTGTCAGTACATGTTGAGTGAATGTTTGCATGGTGTTCCCTTAGACAGTTGATAGCCAGCCCATTGTTCCTCTCCATCATCCTAGCCACTTCCCAGGTCCAGGCCTTCTAAATTTCTGTAGTAGCTTCTCAAGAATTTGTCCCAAACCATCTGGCACCCAGCAGCCAGTAAATAGAATCCTAATGCTTCTCTTTTCAATTCTTTAGTGTTTCTGATTATACTACCTTGAGCTGTCAGATCTAAGGTGACCTGGCCCTGGCCACTTGGAGCCTGATCCTGTGCAGTGTCCCCTTGGTCATGATGATCCTAGGGTATGGTGACTACCTTGACGATTCTCAGGCCAAATTCCTACCTGCTCACATTTGCATGTGCTATTCTGTCTAAAAGGCCTCTCTCAGTCTCACCCCTTTTTTGCATGAATGGCTAAAATTCCTAACTCATTTATTTATCAGTTCTTGGCTACTTTAGAGGCATTTACTCTTGACACCCTCCCCTTAATCTAATTTTATTTCACCCATTTGGGTTTTGTATTCTTTTTCTTTGTAGCATCTGTCACAGTTTGTAATGATAGCAGTGTGTAGAAAATCTTATATTTTTAGAAGCGGCAGGATGGGAAAAAAAATCTGTTTAATTGGCTGAATTCCTGGAGAAGCCTGAGGTAGTTTGAGTCCCATAGGTGACACGCTTATACAAAGACGGGCACTGGAGTGCAGCCCTCATGAAACCCCCATGCATCTTGCCCAGACTTTCACCTCACTGCAGGGTCCTTGACCATGTGGGCAAGCTGTGCCATCCTGGAGGATGTTCCCCACATCTCCCATCCACACTCACTACTCACCATGTGTACTTTCCTTGCTGCTGTTTCTTTAATAATTTTCTAAAGAACTAACTCCAAGTTTTATATCATTGTGTAGTGTCTGAAGTCACAAATTTGATTGGTTTTCTTTTTTCAGTTTATTTGTACGTATTTATGGGGTACCTCTGATATTTTGTTACATGCATAGACTATCCCTCACTGTGAATATTTATCATGTCTGTGTCGGGAACATTTTAAATCTTCTCTTCTACTTATTTTGAAGTATATCATATATTGCTAACTGTACTAACTGCCACCCTACTCAGTTATTGAACATTAGAATTTATTATGACTATCTAACTGTATTTTTGTACCCATTAACCAACCTTTTTTTATTCTCCTTTTCCCTCCACGTACACCCTCCCCAGCATCTGGTAGCTGTAATTCTACTTTCTACCTCCATGAAATCCAATTTTTTTTAGCTCCCACATGTAAGTGAGAACATGTAATATTTGTCTTTCTGTGTCTGGCTTATTTCACTTAACATAATGACCTCCATTCATGTTGCTGCAAATGATATGATTTCATTCTTTTTGTATGGCTGAATGGTATTTCATTGTGTGTGTGTGTGTGTGTGTGTGTGTGTGTGTGTGTGTGTATGTCACCAATTCTTTACTCATTTGTCTATTGATGGACACTTAGGCTGATTCCCTATCTATTGTGAATAGTGCTACAGTAAACATTGGAGTACAGATACCTCTTTGATAATACTGGTTTATTTTCCTCTGGGGATATACTCTGCAGTGAGATTGCTAGATTATATAGTAGTTATAGTAGTTCTGTTTTAGTTTGGTAA